GGTGCAGCCATCATGGGACACTTTATACTTTGGCCCAGACAAAACATCCACTCAAGAAACCCTTTCAGAGTCAAGACCCCATTGTCTGATCCCAATTGCCAGCTCCATTTTTTCTCACAACATGCAACATTAGTTGCCTTGTAGTAAACACCTAGCCCCAGTGAACACTGTCACAATTTTCTTTAAGATTCATCCTTACTGTACAATGAGCTTCTGAAACTGATTTAGGTCGTAACATTGAACTTCCTGATCATCTGCCACCTCTCCCATCATGTCTGCATATCCGTCTCCTTCCCCTCCAACGGCAGAAAGAGAAGAGCTATGGGTTCTCCCACGAGCTCCAGGCTACAACCCTTACTCCTGCAATACCCACTCACCCACCCACCTGGCAGCAGCGCCCCGCCCAGGCCTGAGGAGACCCCCTTCCTGCTGCAGCGCCATCGCCCAGAGCTGGGCTGAGCAGCCTGCTGCCTGTGGACACTGGTCCAAAGTTCCGCTTAATGTCACAGATAACAGAGTCTCACAGCTCATCTGTATTGTTCACATGCTCTGAAAAGGCATGGAAATGCAAGTTCCCTCAAAACACATGCTCACTCAGTCTGGGATTTCCACGGAACTCAAGAGAAAGCACACAAATGTTATTTCCTTCCTCATTTAAGTGCTCAGCTACTCTTAAAAGTAGTTCAGTGTTTTTCTCCCTTTGATGTGTAGCCCCACTGCTGTAAGCATGCTGGGGCAGAATATTTGAGATACATGGCTGGGGAAAGTTGTCTGGTTTTGAGACAACCCTTTTGATTTATGACCCTAGGGCTAAATCAATGCAGGATTTTGGAGAAAGACCAATGCAGTGTGCCTATGAGTCTGATCCCAAGGCGCTGATGTTTCCAGCGACCCTGGCAATCATTTGCTTTTCATTACTATGTGATTCTAACACTGAAAGAACTCACCTCACTAACCTGTCAGCTGTACAAGAATCTAGGCAGAGGGTAAGGCTACCCTGGTATTAAACTCACCTCAGGCTAAGCATCTTCTTTCAGGGTTATTTTAGGCGGGCTTGCTTTTTTAATGAAGAGTAGCCAATTTCATCCCAAAAGAATCCTCCCAGCACACCTGATTCTCTTCAAACATAATTTATTTGCCAAAGGACTCTGAATCTCAGAGCAAAGCTGTATAAAGCTTAGAAAAACAAGTTGATTTAAAGTTTCTATTTTTACACAGTGTCCTGTTTCCAGAGGGGCTGAGACTAGTGGTTTCAAACTCAATTTAGCATTTAAACTAATTTTCAGCCAGGTCTCTATGGACCAGCAATTAGGGAAGGCAAAGAGTTCAAAGAGAAGGATGGGGGCCTTGTCTTTCTGGATGCCCCTTCTCCTCCCCTCCCTGCTGCCCTTCCCAGCGGGTTCGCAGACTGCTACTGGCCCAGAGGGCAGGAGCACCTGGGCTTTGCATTTGCTGGGGCTGGAAAGGCACTAAGGGCCAAGTCCATTTACTCCTTCCCCTAGCTGTCCTGGGGAAGGCTCTAAAAACTTCTGGATGACTCTGCTGCACGCCTCAGGCCAAGGCGTGCTGGGCCAGGGACAACAAGAGAAGAAGGGCCCCTTTCAGCTGCAGAGCCACACAGACTCCCCTTCCAGCCATGCAGGATAGCACTGGGTTACACATGCCAGGCCGGACGCCTGCCTGGGCCTCCCCCAGCCCAGCTGTCATCCTCATATAAGGCCACAGCATTCTTTTGAGCCTCAGTCCTAGCTCTTGAAATTTTAGTTTAGTTCTGTGTGGTGACTGTGTTTAGTTAATGTAAGATCATGGCACAAACTGCAAAAGGGACAAAAAGGCACACAGTGACATGTGTACATCCAGTTTCCCCCAGTTCAAAGGCGATCATTGTTATGTTTCTTAGGTACCCTTCCAGAAATAATGACTCCTTTGTAATTATCTTATGCTCCTTTTATTATTAGTTTTACACAATCGTATCATACTTCTCATGCTATTCTGTACCTTCCTTTTGTTTTTCTAATTAACAATATGTCTAGGATGTTACCTAATGTCCGAGGTTCTTTCCACCCTTAATATTTCTTAAATCTGGGAATCAGGCCTAGGGTTTAAAAAGTCTACTTCTTAAGAATCTGGGTAAATGCTCCCAAAACTGCCTTAGCAGAGCAGGGAGGAGAAAACGGGATGCAGTGTTTATAGTTAGGCATCATGAAACGCTTTGATGCCCCTGAGCAACCGTCATCCTCATTTCCCTGGGAGCCACCTGCCCAGAAGGCTACTCACTCCAGCCCAGAGGAGAAGGGAGCTTTGCCAGTGCCCCTTTCCAGATGCCAGGCAGCAGTCTGCCCATTAACCCCATCACTTCTTAAATTTTTAATGTTTCAATGAAGAAAACTTCAGGCTCCAGAAGGTCAGATAGTTCTACCAACACCCCACGGCAGGTAACCACAGGAAAACTGGATGCCAGGATTGGCTATCGTCTTCAAAGTCCATATTCTCACCAGATAGTGTTAAAAGAAAAGAGGCCTCTCCAGCTTTTCAGTTGATAAAATTCTCAAGTCAGTCTTACAACTTGAATCCTCCATCGCCATCAGGACATTCTGCCTCCAGGAGCCACCATGCGTGCCTTTGCTCTCCCAACAGACAGGCCCTATCTAGCGAGGTCCACTGACCAGAATGAGAACTGTCCCTGCTGCAGGACTGAAGGAGGGAGGGAGGGACAATCACTGGGGGCTACAGGTCTTGGGAACACTGACCTTCCCTTTCCAACCTCCTTTGAAGGCGGCGCCACTAGAAGCACAACAGTGAGAGTGGAGAGTGAGGTAAGGGAAGAAAGTTATAGTTCATCTTTCTTTTTTTCAGTCCTAAAAAGAGCCTACATGGACGTCTGCTGGTGAGGAAATGCAATATGAACCTGTGTGTGTGCAAGCGAGCTGCCCAAGGTCAGGGGCAGAGCAGGAGGGCGGGCTCCTGGCTCCGTGGCCGGGTCCTGGGCTGTACCCTGCCTCCTCCTGGATGGAGCACATGGGCCTCCTGACTAGGCTGCTCACTCCTACTCAGTCCCCTGCCTCACAGCTCTTGGGTTCGGCTGTTTGCCGCTAGTGTCTTCGCTGGAGGGCGAGCAGGGAGATGCAAAGGCCCCTGCTTGCTCAGCAGCTCTTCATAAAGGTTCAGACCGAGGTGAGTGGGTGGTGTTGGCTCACACAGGTTTATGAACTATCTGTGGACCATTTTTATCCAGGACATTCCTCCCTCCCATTACCAGAGCTACTTTAAACATTGGCTGAGCTATGCTCAGGCCAAACGTACATATGACAATCTCCTTTCCCAGCTGCCCTCTCACACCACAGATTTCAAAAGAAGTGCTGTTTGCCTGCAGACTTCACCACAAACTTTGGCTAATGCTACCAAGTGGAAAGGCCCACCACGCAGGGGTAAGCCCATTATGCCCATCAGTTTTACCAGAAGCCACAGCCCACAGGTGATGCCTCTGCATAGATGATGCCTCTGCAGCTACCCCACTCCTGGCCCCTCCTGAGAGTGCCAGGAACCCCAGGCACACATGCTGGAGGCCGCAGGAGAGGCCACGCTCACCCTCCCTGCCCTGACCTACCATTTCTCCTTAGGGTATCTGGAACTTAGGTGGCAGAGCACAGTGGGCCTGGTCCCTGTTCTGCACTGAACAAGCCCCACAGGCATTCCAAGCTGTGCTGGCAAGCCACCTGGGCACAGGAACATGGGAGCCCAAGAGCCCGGCAGCACAGGTCTGGCCTGAGGCCTCCGCAGGGCCTCCCCTCACACACAAGCATCCCTGAGAGGGGCATCCAGAGGAAGTGGCCTCCAGCAGGTGGGTTTCCTCAGCAGATTCCCCACAATTATTAAAAAAAGGTGACTTAAATTGCACATCCTCACAATGAGGATAAAAAGAAGTAATACTCGGTGGCCTTTGGCAGGACACGAACTCTGTGATATCTCCCCAGTCATGAATGGGCTCAGAAGACTGAGAAGAAAACAGATTAAAAAAAAAAAAATGAATAAACCTCCAAACAAAAGTCAAGCAGGATCCCTTAAGCAGGAAGTGAATATTCCAAAGGATTCCACAAAACCATATGTAATGGTGGGGGTCCCTCTAGAAAAATCTGCTTGCCCCCGGCCATGGCCAGAGCCCCGTATCACCCTCCCCGCCTAGAGCATCCCCAGCTTCTGTGGTGGAAATGGTTGTGTTACATGCTGACACGGATTCTGAGCCTGTGGGAAGGAAAGGCTTTGTGAATTCCAAATATAATTACTGGACTATCATTCAAGAAAATAATATTAATAAGGTTTTAATTGTTTCTGGCCCCCCTTCATCCTCCCTGTGGCCACAGTGACTTTACACTTCACTTAGTCAAATGGTAACAGCGTGGGGTCTGCAGAAAGTGGACTGGGTTCAAGTTCTGGTGCCGAACTCACTAACAGGAGACAGCGCTACAGTGTTAGTTGTGTCCCTCTTCCACCTAGGAGGGTAATACCTGCCTCCCAGGTCACTGTGAAGACTGAGAGTACCCATGGGGGGCAGTTTCTATAAGGTTAACAGCCCCGAGCAGTCGGCACTGTCACTCCTGGGGGGGATCTGCCCACCTCCCCCAGGGCTGGGTCCTGCCACTGTTGCCTGCCTATCCCAAGTGTGGTTATAAATCTCACTATTTCCTTCATTCTTGCATCTTAGAATCACAGAAGAGGGTCCCAGAGTGTCAGAGCTGCAAGGAGCCTTAGGAATTTCCTAGGACAGCCACCCCAGCCCCTACTGCACCACCAGTGCCTCTACACCCCACACCATGTCCAATAGGAAAACCGTGACCCCACCCCATGTGCTCCCTCCACCAGGCAAGCTGGTGGCCCACCCAGATCTCCTCCCACAGGCTGCATGCATCCCTCCCTCCCAGCAACCCTCCGCGACCCAGAGCCCCCCTCACAGGCCTGCCTTCAGGAGGCCGCGGAGCCCTGAGGGCCACAGCTGCAGGTACCTTGGCGTTCTGCAGCGGTGGCTGGTAGCTGGACGGACGGTAGAACATCCTCTGCAAGGCATCTGTATGGATGTCGCCGAGGAAGAGCTCCTCCACCAGGCGGTCCAGGTCGTGCAGTGGGTGCTGCTTCTCCACCCGGATGAGCTGCAGCTCATGCATGGCGAAGTTGACAGCTTTGGTGCACTCACAGCCGTTCTCTTCCCGCCACAGGTCGTAGGCCACATCCTGCACCCAGGCACCCCCCGTGAGGACGAAGCCGGGGCACGTGCGGTTCACCAGCTGGCAGAGCTTCTCGGCTACTGCCTCCGTGTGGCATACGACCTGCACATTGTGCAGCTGGTAGTCGGCCTCGGTGCCCCCACGGATGATCCAGGAGGCCTGGCGCAGGCGGATCTTGCCCCGGACGACGAGGGTGTGCGTGGGGCTGGTGCAGCGGTTGCCGCTGTAGTAGAACTGGTAGGCCTTGAAGGTGTTGTTGTGGTAGAATCTGTAGGACCTTGTGAGGAACTCTGGGCCTGGCCTCACCTCACAGCTGAGGAAGAGAAGGGAAGGGGGACTTTTAAAATCCCAAAGGCCTTGAGAAGAGACTCATTAGTGTTAAGAAACAAGAGTAATAATGAAAGTGTAGTGCTATCCTTATGCCAGTTCAAAATGGTTGATTTTCTGAGTGCTTCTGTGTTATGGACCTCATCTACAGCAGCAGGAGCTAGATGTCTATTGTCCTGAAATGGATCTGCTCTCAGGGAGGGGTCACTCAGGGGCAGTGGAAAATTCACCCTCCCATCTAGTCAAAATTAATTTTCCCTCTACTGGAAAAATAAAGGAGCAAAGCTAACATAACAACAGACTTAAGGGGTCCTTCCGTCTGTGCTGGCTGACAGTGGCAAAGTGACAGTGGCTTTAGATAAACGCTGGAGATTCCCAAGCCAGAAATATTTGAACTGGGCTCTAGAGCACAAATGGCTTGGTGGCTTTACCTCAGGTGTATTCTTCACATCGCTCTACTTAGAATCGATTCCTATACAGCAGCACAGCCGACACCAGGGAACAGTGGAGCCATTCATTAACATACTGGCCAAAGAGTTCATCTGGCCTATTTGCTGGGTCCTAGTCTCAGTGACATCATGACTGTTAGGGCATCAATTTTGGCCTTATAACTCTGTTTGCGTCTGTAATACATATATATATAGTATAAATCATTTATGGTAATTCTGGTTTGAGCTGACTCAGCATTGCTAAGTCAAGCAGAGGGACTGAATCCCAAAGGCCAGTGGCTCTCAGAAGTGCTAACATCTTTTAGTTAACAAGCTGGTGAAAGAGAAATATTTAGAAGAGGGCAACTTTCACTGAGTAAAGATTGTCAACTGACATCAAATAAACTGCATGGACAGGAAGCCGTCAGCAGTACCTTTGAGAATCCATTGTCTGTGAGAGGTCTTCCCGGGTCTTTTAGTGTGAGCAGTGATTCACGTCAGTTGAGGTTTAGTTAAGATCACTTATTCTTAACATTTTATCTAAGCACTGATGTTGACAGGCCTCCAAAGCTCACCGTATCTCAAGCCCATTCACTTCTCCATCTGCTCCACCATCAGCCCCGCCTAAGCCTCCCTCATCTCTAGCCAGATTGGCTGCAACTATCTTTTTTTTGGTCATCCTCACATCACCTTTTCTACCATCCATGTGCCACACAGTAGCCAGAGTGTCTTCTAATAAAGTGGAACCATGTCTTAAGCATGGCGCCTGTGGAAGACTCAATGGCTTTTCAGTTCTCTTAGGTTAAAAGTCAATTCACCAAGGAGACTTGGCCTGCGGGCGCCCTGGGAGCCAGCCTCACCCTCCACGGAAGGTGCATTCATGCTCTTCTTCCCAGTCAACTGGTCCGGCCATGAGGCTCTGGGCCCGCTGTTCCTGCAGCCAGCCTTTGGTAGTTCTTCCAGACAGAAAGCTCTTCCTCAGTTTTTGCACAGCTAACATCATCTCAGCTCAAGTGTCCTTTCCTTTGGTGGCCTTTCCTGATCCCACCCCATCCCAAAATAGGACTCTGGTATTCCCCTTAAGAACCTGTTGTTTTTTTCCCCTCTTCATAGTACTTCTTTGGTGTTTATTTGTAAAATTCCCGAAGACAGGGACCATGTCTGTTTTGTTCTCTGCCATATACACGAAATCTACAATAGTGCTTTGCAAATGGTGAACATTTGTGCACTGAACAAATATTTGTTGGATAAAATGATAAATTATTTAAAAGTACATCACATTAAGATTGTGCAAATATTTATCATGTGGTTATTTTTAGAAACTCCATTTTTAGGAAAAAAAAACTTCTGGGTCTTCAATTATCTTATAAAATTCCTCTTTTTTTTCTTTTCTGTGTACATATGCATTTGATCCCTCCCCAAGGTACCTGGGGCCGCAAGGGAAAAGTGATCAGATCACAGAGCTGACCTTGTTAATTCTCAGCAATTAATGGGTAGGGGGAAAATTGCAGGTCTGCCTCTAGGTTATTTTTAAAAGCTCTAATGGAAGATAAGCCAGAGCACAAACAAGGATAAATCTCAGCTCTGCAGCCTGGAAAAGGATACAAGAACTAAGCCCTGGCTAGTAGAGGTAGCCTGAGTACCTTTTAACTTACTCTTAGAACCCTGAAGCTATATATTAAATTACCAGAATATGGTTAGAATATTTAGACCATCCGAAGCTTTCAAGTCATGTTTCAGTGTTGGTGAAACACAGACCCCTAATTTCACTTGCTAATCATTTCTTTTTATACACAAGTGGTCCCACAGAGTTTGGTAAACAACGACTCATTCACTCACACTCTGTGATTAACAGTAGTATACATAATATCATCTCTGCTTTAGCTAAGATTTCTACAGTACTTAACTCTGTTTCTTTACCCAGCAGAGTTTCAAATCCTTGCTTGGCTCTTAGTTAGAATGTAGACAACACCTAAATCATTGTGGATTATATGAAGTCTTTATGCATCTGAGACACCCTAAGAAGGGTATCTATAGCGGTGGGATAAACCCCAGCTCTCTGGTCCCTCCCTGCCCCACCCTGCCCTGGTTCTCTTACCCAGTGGACACCCAGTGGCCCTCGATGGCTGGTGGCATCTGCACAGTGATCCTGGCACCATTGTGGAGATGTTTGAGCATGTGATGGCACTGTGACTCCTTGAAAGCCCTCCAGGCACTTTTCTCTAAGGACCTAGGATGGGATCTGCTGTCTGGATGAAGGAGAGCAGACCCCTCGGCCAGCCCTGAAAAAGAAAAGTAGAAGTTCACTGACAGGACACTGGGCACAGACGTAAGTCAGGCCAGAAACTGCCCATGCGGCAGGGAAGTCACCAAAGGCAGGGCACGCACTCCTCCTCCACCAGGTTTGGTCATGGTCCTGCTGTCCTAGAATGCACATTCCCAAGTGGGAAGTGTCCTGGGAGGTCATTCCGCAAGTGAGAAAACAGGTCCATAGAGATGACAAACATGGGCTTCCATGAGGTCACACAGCTAGTTCCTGGCAAAGCCTGAGCTCAAATCCACAAGTCTATGAAAGGGCAAATAAAGTCATACGTGCATGTGAGCAGTTGTGCAGCACAGACAAATGAATGTGCTGAAGAGCTGAATAAAAAAATGTGTGTGTTCTAGAGTCAGCAAAGAACTGGAGATGGAACTGAAGGGAGAAATAAGAAACTGGTCACCAGGGATGGGGACACAAAGTGAGGAGAACATCCTCAGGAAAAAGGGAATTCTTTTCCAATGAATGACCTCCATGGGGCTGCCCACCAAGGGGACATGAGTCTTGTGGGTAGGAGTGTGACACTACTCTCCAGTTATGTCCCAAGTGCAGCCCCACATCCACAAAGTCCTTGACAAGTTAAGGATACAATGTAAGGTTTAAATTAGGAAATTTACAGGAAGACTGCACCTGCTTATTTTCCATGGGTAAAGAAATACTGGACTAAGGTCATCTTTGGTATAAGTAGTTTGGGTTGGCCAAAATTTACACATGCACAACTACCACCAGTCTCATGTTCAGAATAAGGCAATACAAACAAAGGAAACCTGAAAGCCCGTGCTTCCTTGGAAATTCACTTCCTAATTAACAAATTGATAGGTCTTCTTTGTGGACCTACTATGCATTTAGCACACTAACAAAAGAAGATACTACTTAAGACAAATGTGCAAAAATGAAAATATATGCAAAATAAATAAAATGCACCTGTTACAATGCTACCTATGAGGACACCATTATATATTTTTTAAATCAACACCTGAAAAACTTCACAGAGAAGCCACGGATTATGAGAAATCATTTGAAAGTGCAAAGTTAGACCCAAAATCTAGTGACTTACAGCAACATGGTGCAAATCTACTGAAGAAACTCAGACCCACAGGTTGATAATATTCAGTATTTATAAAATATTCAGATATTTGCCATTATTTTGAGGGTTGAACTAATGTTTTGTCAGAAGTCTTTGGTATTGAGAAGACAGCGGTCTCCACATGGGAACTCTCAAGTGTTTTTCTCTGAGTAAAAGCTGCATGGAGCAGTAGTTTTGGATTGTTCTTACAGATCTTAAATGAAGTAAAAAGCAATGAGAGGCAAAAGTATCTATGGGTATGATTCATGAAAATTGTGAAAAGAGATTCTAAAATAAGATGATGGTGCCATGTTCAAATCAAATGCAACCTCACCATCAGCTCCATTTAGCCCAATCAGGTGATTTGGTCCTGAGCTAGAATGCGAGAAACATTATAGCTCAGAAATCCGTGTCTGGTGATATAGACAGCAATGTGCATGGCTGTTAGGAGAGGACCTTCTTTCCTGTGGCGTCGACTTCCATCCAGGTAAGTCATTCCCAGTAAAATGACTCTCCTGGGTCTTCTCTCCCCACCCCCTTTCAGTCCTCCCCAAGTGAAGCGGCTGTGTGATGGGAGAAAAAAGAATGCTTGACTCAGTCATTTTTCTCTTACCTTTTGTAAAACTAGCCTGTTTTCAAACTACATGCGTGTTGACTGCTCCTCCCCCTACCTCGTAGAAACGATTCTGCGCTTTCAGTTGTTGGGCTGTGGCACTAGGCCAGGTGGTAAGCCTGAAAAAGTCAAGGGTGAACTATTCAGCAACGCTACCATGGACATCCATCTATACTGTGCCTTCTGATGGAGTATGCGTCACAGTTTCAGTTTTCATCCTCATCCGTCTGATAGCTGTGTTGATCTCTATTAGCTCTGAACTAGCGGAGGCACAGAGATATTCACTGTACCTCTGCTAAACTCAATAGCTGTAATTACCTTGACGATGAGAAAGATTTCCTGAATTCTGTTAGGCAATCAAGGAATGAAACACAGTTCAACTTGCTGTCCAGTAGGTCAATCGTGTGACCAATTACACTGTGGCTAACTTAACGTTGATTTTCATTCAAATCATGAGGCAGTGAGAGTCAGGGAAGAGTCACTAAGCATTCCATAAAAAGCCTTCATCTCACTATCAATCAAGCTATGTTCTAAAAATTGATGTGTAAGCCCGTTTATATGCTGCAAATGTTTTCCTGTAAGGATAATAAAAGCTCGGAGGACAGTAGATATGGATGAACTCTCAAGAGCCAGGCTGTGTGGATTTGAAACTGGATCTGCCACTTAAAGGATTTCAACAAATCCAAGACTTCAGTGATTGTTAAGATGCATCATTATTTTACCAGCAGCGACAAAAACACTTGCATTTAAACAATGACACAATGCCCTAACAGCCCTGAGATGCCCATGAATCATGCAGGGCAGTCCCAGACTGCTTTGACATTTCTTTCAGCTATTCAAAGAGATGTGGCAATGTCTCTTGCCTTCTATTGCATTGCTTCACCCGTTGACAGGTAATCCGTTTACTTTGTACGTTTGCTTTGTGTGTATCTCAATAATAAAACACAGTCACACCTTTTTGTGGGTATCTGCCTCTCCAAGGAATTCACTGTTGCTAAGTGAGCAAATACAGAATTGTAGTTATTCCTTCAGTGATACTTGGTTTACTGATGTCAAACGAACACTCCCCTGCTCTGTTTTCAGGCCTGCCTGATTTTCAGTAGCTCTTCTTTTCAGAGCTGAGAGTAATTCATAAGTGAGCTATGGAGAAGAAAACCAAGCATACTTGGCTCAAACATTTATTCTGTTTTCAAAACTGACCTCTCTGCAACCAAACTATAAATACAGAGTAAAAGGACACATAAATGAAGTGACATGATGACAATATAAGCAGCTGTGTCCCGCTCTCCCAGTGTCACCCCTGACGATCTTTCTCTGCAGGCTAACGGATTGAAACCCCTTTCCACCAGAGATGCACATCCATTGCAAAGATCTTAAAGCACACAACAAATCTATCTCTTACAATTAGTGCACTACACTATTAGCATTGATACCTTAACAAATTATTATACCCTGTCCAGGCTGCAGTCTACTCATCTGCAAAGAGGGGTTAACATCACCCATCTCTTAGGTAGGTCTCAGAGCTCACTGAAACCGCTTTCTTTAGCACAGGGCCTGGCACATAGTTCTCATTAAATATTAGCTGCTATTACTTTAAATAATAATTAGGCTCTTAGGCTGACCTCAAAAAGTCCCTCCTAAATAATACAACAATTAAAATAATGGTAAAAGCCACCCAGAGCCAGGCTCACTGTGAGGACAGAGTGCTCAGGGTAAAGACAAGGAGCTCCCAGGCTCTATGGCTGTTGAGAAGTTCTACTAAGTTTAACAAATACTATTTACTATTACTTTGTATATTTTAGGGACTGGAAGCATTAAGTATCCAGAGAAGTGTTTCTGACCTTGAGGATCTTAAGGTCTCACTGACCCCGATATCAAAGAACAAGTGTGGAGATGATGAAGAAGGGCTCTGGGAGGGAAGTCGGGGGTTCAGAGGTGGAGAAGTGGGAGGGTGATCAGGTCGGGATTTGCCCGGGTAGTTCATAAGGCTAGAGTCACAGAGGAAGGGGGCCTACAGAGATGCTTTTTAACAACAGATGGAAGAAATAAAATCCCAGAACCACCAATATGAAGCTCACTAGAAAGTAGGCAAAAGATTAACATTAAATTACTTGGTTTCTAGGAACAATTGTCCACTTCACTATTGCTCTTATTGGCCAATTAGCAATGCTCATGAACCTGGCAAGGCTGTCAGTGAGGGAGGGCGAAAGACTGAGCAGCCAGATGGAGAACAGTCTAGTCGGCAGAGCTCCCAGGACACAGTGATTTAGGGTTCACACTCTAGGGTGATATCGTACTTTTTGGGTGGAAAAAAGTGGGGTTTGTACTTATTCCCTATTTACCTCTTTCGTTTGAAGTACCCACCACCTTGACTACCCTTATGGGGCAAATTTAAATGAGTCAAGTGAAACCAGGAGTTGCTGTGAGGTAGGAAATACAGTCTCTTTGGTCTGCAGTCAACTACTGATTATAGTCTCCAGGATTTACTTGGCTTACCTGGTGTGGGCAGTGTGGATGGTCTTAAATTGCTCAGAATTAAAAGGTCATTAAAAACACCAAGTTCAGCTGCAGGAGAGGCCAAATGTAACAGCTCTATCCTTATGCCCCAAGCTTCCTTCTCAGGATCAGCCAGTGTGCCCTCCACAGGAGACCAACCTTAGACTTCTGGTCAACTCAGGGCTCTCTGTGTTCATTGTGTTGCCCTGAGTATGTCAACTCCAGTTCAGTACTGAAACTAGCAACTTATTCTTTGAACAATCAGAAAGGTATCGGAGGGTCAGGCACTGTTCTAGGCTGGAAACTACAAACATTATGCCCCGTGGGAGTCTCAGCTGGGAGAGAAACCAGGTCTCAAATGGACTTGTAGAGGGACTCATAAGATAGAGCACTCTCTAAATTCATGATCATGGCTTCACGAGGAGCAGCTGTGCATGGAGGCGGTACAGGCAGAGTACACAGCACTTCCAATGCAAGGAGGCAGGCAGGAGGGGTTTGTGTGGGAGGAACTTAAGACACCTCAGGGGGCCACCACAGGATGGCCCAGAACAGAGTACCAGCAAAAAAGGGCAGGGCCATGTTCAAGAGTGCCATGTGTGTCATGTGGGGGGTGAATAGGACTGGCAAAGTAAGGAGAAACTACCAAAAAAGATTTTAAGCAATGTAATGGCCCGATAAGAATTCCACTTTGAAGAGACAGTTTTTCCCTTTCTGGAGGGATGGAAACAGACTCAAAGCAGGAAAAATCAATTATGAAGCTACTACAATGGTTATGTATCATTTTTTCACT